ATAGACGAGCGAGGGCCTCTTAAGAGACCGAACCCTTGGTATCAACAGGGACCGGCTGATAACGGTAACGGTCGGGCCCTGCCGGCAGAGAACTTTCCCCCTGGGAGACAGGGTGACTGCTGGCCTGACCGAAGGGAAGGCTACATGCACCAAGAGTCAGACTTTACCGATAACCCCAGGAGACAGCGGGACTCCCCCTGGGCTGGCGCCGGACAGAACGGACCTTCCCATCAGGGCCACTATGGCGGGCCACGCCCTGCAGTATGGCAGCGTGATGTTGCGCTGCACCGATCATAGGGTGTGGAACCTTTCAGCTTGGACGAAGTTCAAGCTTTCAGCAGACGATAGAGACTTGTGCCGGCCCCGTTGCGTCGCTGGACTTTTGGGGTTTGCCCCGGCTGTGCCGTAACGTTCCTTACACGTCACGCTCGATTAGAGACGTGTTTTTGGCGTTTATGTGATGTGCTTCCCCAATATTGCAGACTTTAAAACGGGAGAGTAAGAAACATTTTACCTGTACTCTTTACTGACTACTTTAAGGACCCTTTTGCAACAGTGCAAAAACTTGGTATATAGCCGTAAAAGGTTACAGTTTTTTTTTTTTTTTTTTTTTTTTTTTGTAACCGCTATGGTCTGGAGGAAGAAATGTTAATGCCTCAAACATTTGAACATTGTTTTGCTGGTCCAACTAAAGTGTTTTGACAATGAACTTAAATTTGGAAGGTTCAGACTTTGGTTACCAAGCATGTTTCTATTCTACTGTATTGTAATGATGGCATTATTTACTGACCGCTCAAACACTCCATCCACATCTTTTTTTCTCTTTTTTTTTTGTTTTAATTTAATTTTTAATTTACTGTGTATTTTCAGGAATATTTTTACATCAAAAATATGAATTGTATATGAATATGAAATATTTATGTTAAATTAATTTGTCCTATTTTTTATAAAAATATTATGTTGTCTTTTTGTGTCTGAAATCATTTACGAGCAATCATCGTCACCTTATTATGAAGGTGGGTTCTTTTGACAGAGATGTAGTGACAGGTTCTAATGTTTAAGCTTTATGTGACATTGTTCTTTTTAAAAACATTTATCAACATTGGCACATGTCTTCTTAAAATTTGATTTGTTACGAAAATGTGCAGGTGCAACGCCCAGGTTTTTGACCAAAAAAATGTTGTTTTAAAACAAAAAAAATAAAGGTTGTCACACTTCTCATATCAATCTGTTATTTATTTCCTATCGATCCCCCTTCTTCTCTTCAGCAGAAAACTATAAAGTAGTTCACTATGCACGAATAGATCAGGGGAGTTATAAAGAAATATGAGGGGCCTTTCACACTCTAAATGACAGGACAGTTTTGGGCTATTGCAAGATGGATCTGTGTGCACATCACATCTTGTATGATGCAATGTAGAATCCTGAGTAGTAATAAATTTGTATCAACAGTCGGACAAAATAAAAATTTGCCGAGCAGGAGGTACAAATTTGTCACAACTCCGGACTCGAAATTGCATCTTGCAATGAA